AATGCTAAAATTCTCTCTCTCTCTGTCCCCCTCTCTCTCACTCTCTCTCTTTAAAAAATATATATATTTTTTTTTAATTGTAGATGGACACAATACCTTCATTTTATTTATTTTTTAAATTTTTATGTGGTGCCAGGGACTGAACCCAGTGCCTCATGCACGCTAGGCAAGCACCCTGCTACTGAGCCACAACACCAGCCCTCAATTCAAATTTTAAAAACCAACTGCTGACAGTTGCCCCAGTGAAGCTGTGGGTGGGGGGCTAGTTGGATTCCTCCTTTTGGAGGTCCAGCAGCCAGGATTCCTAAGTGTGGACAGTCCTATGGCCCACCCTGCTAAGAAGTGAGGCTTGAGGACAGACAGATCTGGAGGATTGTCCCAGACATTCTATAGCTCTGATCATTTTGATCTGATTGCATATGTCTGGAGTGGAGGTGGGAGGTAGGCCAGGGGTGCAAAAAGGAGACAGAACTTAAAATAATAAATATTGATTGATTTTTTTTATCCGTTTATTCATTATACAACATTCTTCAGCAAGGCCTCCTGTGTGACAAGATTGCAGAGTTGTGTCACAAAAGCTTGTGCAAAGTGCTGTGGAGACTCCTTCCTGGTGGAGGTGAGCTTTGAGCTGCAGCTAGAGGGGCAGACAGAGGAGTGGGAAGGATGTGCCAGATCAAGGGACAGCAGGTACAGAGGCTGATTGTGAGTGAGGGAGCTCGTCAGAATGTGGAATGCATGGGAAGGAAGGGGGTTCTGGGAGCCCCCAGGTAAACTGGGGTTCTAGTAGCAGAGCAGCTAGCAACTCTGTCCTAAAGGGAAATGTAGGGGCTGGATGTGGGTGTTTGCTGTGTGGCTTCATGGGACACTTCACCTGGCAGACTGCCTAATGCCTAGTTTCCAACCCATGACCAAGTGTTTCCCACTTACATGGGAAATTGTTTATACTGGCAGAAGCTCTATGGCTTCTTGTCTGACCAGTGTTCATTCATGCCTGCCTGATTATAGCTCTGGTGCTGCAAGCTAGATCTGTGGTCTCCACAGTGTCCCGGGGAAAAATCTGCCTGGAGCCACCCTGGTTCATGAGATGAAAGGTACAAATTCAATATACCACCACAAGAGGAAATAAGTTCAAAAATTTATTATTTTCAGATGCTGGGCAGGGAGGACACAGTGAGTAGGGAGGGCAGTTCTCTGTCTCTACATCACTTGAGGCAGGAATTAAGAGATAGACTCACAGGGGGAGGGGAGAAACTAGCATTATATATAGTGAATTAGGTGTGGGTCACTTTACTTTTTATTTTTGTTAAGAGTTGGGGTCTCTCTGAACATGTTAGTGCACACCTGTAATTTCAGTGGCTCAGGAGGCTGAGGTAGGAGGATGGCAAGTTCATAGCCAGCCTCAACAATTTAGCGAGGCCCTAAGCAACTCAGTGAAACCCTATTTCAAAATAAAAAATAAAAAGGGCTAGGGATGTTGCTCAATGATTAAGTGCCCCTGGGCTCAATTCCTGGTACCAAAAAAAAAAGAGAGATGGTCTCCCTGTGTTGCCTAGGCTGGCCTCAAACTCCTGGGCTCAAGAGATCTGAGGCCTCAGCTTCTCGGGTCACAGGGACTGCAGTGTGGAATTGTACTTCTAATGGCAGGCAGTGACCTGAGCTGTGCTGTTCTTGTAACATGGCAGTAGTATAGAGGAGACCCCAAGAGTAGGAAGGACCTTTATAGCCCACCAAGTTTACTGTTGGAGCACCATCGAAGAGTCTTAGGGAAGAAATGAGTCATTCTTGGGACTATAGGATGAAAATGGAGGCAGTGCAGTGTGGGTCAAAGATGTGGGATCGAGAGGCAGAGAGACTCTCATGGAAGCAGGTAGGAGATGGTGGAGGCAAGGCAGATCCCCAGCAGCAGGATGAGAGGATGTGGTTGGCCCTGGAAAGGACAGGGGCTTTGGATGCAGGCAGGCTAGCTGGGGAGGATTCTGGCTCCAGCCCAAACCTCCCAGTGACCTTTTGGCCTGGACCTTAAGCAAGAATTTGCCAGACAGGACTGGTGGGGGAAGCTGTCCCCCATCTCTGGCTAAGTACTAGGTAGGCCCATGTGGTGCATTTTTCTGAAAGGAGTTACAGTCAAGGCCTCAGGCCTAGCCCATGTCAGCCCTGCATCCCACCTAGGGACCTCCTCCTGAGGCCTCCTGTGGGAACCTAGCAGAGCACTTTCCCAGCCTCTACCAGGACTTCCTTACTGAAGGACATTGAGGTGACCTGGCTCATTCCTTTCTCTCCAGCCCTTCTCCCTGTCTCCCAGCCCACAGGTTCTTAAAGAGGCAGGAGCACTAACTGGTGCTCCTTGATGGTGAGATAGTCCCTTTGCTCCTCATCTGTCCCTCATCCAGTGCTGTTTCACGAAGGAACAAGAGACCCAGAGGCTGTTTCTGCCTCTTGCTTGCAGGCTTCAACAAATGAGGAAAGGCTTTGTAGTTCTATCTTTCGGCTCAGCTTCTTGTCCTAGTAGGTCTGGCACCTGTCTGCTCTGATGATAGGACTCACTTTTTTGGTTGTTGATACTGAGTTTTGAACCCAAAGGCATTTAACCCCTGAGCCACATTCCCAGCCCTTTTTTATATTTTTATTTAGAGATAGGGTCTTGCTGAGTTGTTTAGGGCCTCACTAAGTTGCTGAGGCTGGTTTTGAACTCGTGATCCTCCTACCTCAGCCTCTAGAGATGCTAGGATTACAGGCAAGGATTCACTTTTAAACCATTTTGAAACTGCCTGTGAACCTTCCATTTTCTGGCTTAAGATCCCAAATCATGTAGCTTTCCTTGTATTCTGTTTTCCTTACCCTGTGTTCATTTAGATTGTTCTTTTCTGAAATCATCCTAGTTCTGACATAATTCTTAAAATGTTGAAGTCCAGGGGCTGGGGATGTGGCTCAAGCGGTAGCGTGCTTGCCTGGCATGTGTGTGGCCTGGGTTCGATCCTCAGCATCACATACAAAACAAAGATGTTGTGTCCACCGATAACTAAAAAATAAATATTAAAATTCTCTCTCTCCCTCTCTCACTCTCTCTTTAAAAAAAAAAAAATGTTGAAACCCAGACCTCTAAATATCTGTCCAAAGCAACAAAGGGGACAGATTAGCCCTCTCTTCTCAGGTGTCATATTCCAGCTGTACTGCTAACTTCTTCCCAGAGATTTTGCTTATTTTTATTTTTATTATTTGTTTTAATCTGTTTATTTTGCTGTGCTAGAGATTGAAACCAGGCCCCATGGATGCTAGACAGACACTGAGCTACATCCTGAACCCTTTAAATAAAAAATCCACAGTTCCTCTATTCCTCCCTCTGAGCCTTGTTATAATATATCATAACTTTCCTGTCTGTGATTTTGTTTGCTAGTGTAAGCGGGATTTACAGGACTCTTGGCTGGTGGGTTGGGCCCTGCTCTAGGACTCCAAAGCTAGTGCTAGAGGATCCCTCCTCTGCAGGCCCTCACCTCTTGAAAAAGGAGATAAAGAATAGGTATGAACACAGTCATTTTGGATGGCGTTAAGTAACGAGACAAAAATCAAATAGTGATGTCAGAGAGTGATGGGGAGGCTAGTGGGGGAGTGCAGTTCCCGATGTGGATGTGTTGGGACCTCCCCTGCTCCTGCTCTTTATTTCTCTGAGTTTACCTTTTTAGGTCTCACATCATAGGTGAGATCATACTGTATCATCACCCAGCCTTTCAAAGCAAGAGTATTCTCTGCAAAGGGAAGAGCAGTTCAAACATCAGAGGTTAGCCGGGCAAGGTAGAGCACACCTGGAAACCCAGCTACCCAGGAGGCTAAGGCAGGAGGATCACAAGTTAGAGGCTGGTCTGGGCAACTGAGCTAGATCCTGTCTCAAAAACTAAAAAGGACTCTGGTAAAGTACTTGCCTGGCCTGTGCCAGACCCTGGATTTAATCCCCAGTACCAACCAAACAAATATCCATCAGAGTTTGGGCTGGGTTCAGCAGTGCACACCTGTAATTTCAGCAACTCTGGAGGCCAAGGCAGGGGAATCATATGATCAAGAGCAGCCTGGGCAACTTACTGAGACCCTGTCTTGAAAAATTAATAAATGAGGATATAGCTCAGTAGTAGAGTGCCCCTGGGTTCAATCTCCAGTACCACCCCATGAAAATCATAGATTAGGAGTAGCTTGGCAGACTGAAGGCATGGAAATCAGTTCCTGAAAGCAAGAGAGGCTAAGGAAGGGAAAGCGTGGAAAGGTGGGCAGGGGCCTGGGGCTGGGCAGCATTCAAATTTAAGTGAGATAGGAAGTCTTTTTCTTTGGTGGGGGGTAGTTTAGACAAAGGGACAACACATGTTGTATGTTTTTTTTAAATCTAATTCTTGCCAGGCACGGTGGTCCACACTTGTAATCCCAGTGACTCAGTAGGCCAATGCAGGAGGATCACAAGTTCAAAGCCAGCCTCAGCAACTTAGGGAGGCCCTAAGCAACGTAGTGAGACTGTGTCTCAAAAAAATAAAAGGGGCTGAGGATGTGGCTCAGTGGTTAAGTGCTCTGGGACTCAATGCCTGGTACCAAAAAAAAAAAAAAAATCTAATTCTCAGGCTGAGGGTGTGGCTCAGTTGTAGAGCACTCATCTAGTATGCGTGAGGCCCTGGGTTCAATCCTAGCCCTGCAAAAAAGAAACAAATCGAATTCCAGTTGCTTTATGGAGAGCAGTTGGGGAGGTCAACACAGGAAGACCAATTAAGTTAGGAAGCTACTAAAGGAGCGCCCAAGTAAAGGTGATATCCGCTCTTCCCAACTGATCTTAGACCTTTCTTTTTTCTCTCCT